ATTGACAATAGAGGTTATGGAACCTGCAATAACCGAAGACAGAAATAGTAACATTTTAATAAAGAAAACATTTATATTATTTAATTTGGACATATAACTTATACATCACCAATAAGCTATAAATAAGAAACATGTATTGGCTTCTATTGACTAACATTTGTCCATCTCATCAATCAAATGATTATATGTTAGTAGAGTAGTTAAACTTGGTCTCCTACTCAGCCTGATTCAATAGTTACAAAAGAAAAATGGCACTCTCCATGAGGTCTTAAGTTAATAAGTGATCATCATAAATAAAAGACTCCCAAGCACCTGTTAATTTATAGGCTTACTAAATCTCCTTCTCTATTTGGGGGTATTTGTCAAGCTTTATTAAGTATGTCTATATGTGCACATATGCATACGTGTATGTGCATGTGCCTGTGTGTGCAACCATGTATGTGTATTCCAATGCCCCCAAACGAGGTCTTAAGTTAATAAGTGATCATCATAAATAAAAGACTCCCAAGCACCTGTTAATTTATAGGCTTACTAAATCTCCTTCTCTATTTGGGGGTATTTGTCAAGCTTTATTAAGTATGTCTATATGTGCACATATGCATACATGTATGTGCGTGTGCCTGTGTGTGCAACCATGTATGTGTATTCCAATGCCCCCAAATGGGCCTGCACAGTTTGGAATTGTAGCTTTCCCTCCCTTTATACTGATGTCTACCACAAAACCCTGTTGAGCATTCAGAATAAAGGTAATGGTCCAAGGGGGAATAACCAATCAACTGCCTTGACACCACGATCACTTAGCTCACGGTCATTTTGAATAGCTGAAGTGATTTACACCCACACCTCGGCCAGCTACAGCTGTAATGAAGTACGTAATCTGCTCACTCAGAGTCCACCAGTTTTTCAATCACATCTGACAGGTTTCAAGGACATAGCCCTTCCTGCAAGCCGACCAGGAAAATTCCAGAAATCCATACAAATGTACCCCAAATCCATGCAAATACTGGGGCCAGTGCCCACTGTGTCCATGTAAATATTTGGGGCTAATGCCCACTTTGTGTTTCTTCCTCTATTTTTGATGACCAGGAGAGAGAAAGTTTCATGTGAACTCCCCCTGCCTGCCTTGTCTCCCCATGGAAGGCCATGGGCCTGTGTGCTTTGAAGAGAGGAAAACTGCCATCCCCAGAATTCCTCCATCAAAACAGAACACAAGCCTGCAAAACAGACCAGTCATTTCCAGAAGCTTTTAGATTTCCTGGGTCTTTGCATACCACAAGGGAAAGGGCAAGCTGCAGGAGGCACAAGTCTGTACATGGACCACTCATTCTCCCATGTCTTCCCGAGGGCACAGAGCAGGCAGATACATATGGTGGTGGCAGTGAGAGATCTAGCATGGAGCAATGGTCAATTAACAAGAAAAAAATGAAACTTTTGAAGTTCATTTCCTACATTTAAATCAATAATGAAAAACTGACATAGCCAGGTTCAATACACAAATGGGCTGAACATCTCAGAGGCAGTGTGCCCTTAGAGACTTCTGCTGCCAGGGGTGTTTACTGAGTAACTGAAGAGACTAAAACACATCTACTTCACTGGTCCTCCACCCAGCTCCTCCTCAGAAACACCTGAAGGAAGTTGTTCCATGCTGACTCCAGGTTCCTCCTCAGAGGTTTAGTTTCAGTTTGTCTGGGGTGGGGCTTGAGTCAGGGTATTTTTCTTAAGCTTACTGGGTGATTCTAAGTACCAGCACAGTAAAGAATCACTGATGTCAAACTAACATCATTACAAGAGCCTCCATGGAAGAAAAATCTTACCAAATCAGCTAAACTCCCATTCATTGTTATTGTTTAAAAATACCTAGTGATGGTGTTGATGTAGGGATTTAATTTAAATTAATTTTCAGCCAATAGATAAAACTTGTACATGTAAGGGCTGAGAGATGGCTCAGTGGTTAAAAGTGCTTGCTTTGCCATCATGAGAACCTGAAATCAGATTCCAACATCCATGTAACAAACCAGATGTTTGTGCATGACTGCACTTCAGCTCCAAAGGGGTAGACAGACAGGAAGACTTCTGGTATTCACAGGCTTCCTTCACAGGCCAGCCAAGGAAATGTGAGCTTAGGGAGGCTTAGGGAGAGACCCTATCTACCTTAAAGGAATTGGAAGAGACTGACAGAGGAGAACATCCAATGTCTCTTCTAGACTCCATGCCTGTACACAGCCACCAGCACTCCACATGCATGTACACATACACTCACACACAGATATTTTTTAAATTGTACAAATTAATGGAATAACATGTACTGTTTCCAAACAGATCTATGTGGCATAATATTTAAATCTCTTTAAGCCTGTCTCCTTAAACATTTCTTTATGATTAAACTTCTGAAATATGCAAAAGTACAGGTTATTGTTTTCCATGCTCACCCTTGTGTGCAATAGCAACTCAGAACTTCTTGCTCCTATCTAAATGTACTTAGTACCCCTTACCCAAGCTTTCCCCATCCCTCCCCTCTCCTCTCCCCAGCATCATTTTACTCAACTTCTGAGGTCAAAATTTTTAGATTCCACATATGAGTGAGATCAAGGGGATATTTGTCTTTCAGGGTTTGGCTTATTTATTTAATGTAATATTTCCTAGTTTATCCATGCTGTACCAAATGTTGGGTTTTATTCTTTTTATAGCTAAATAATATCCCATTTTGTCTATGTTTCATATTTTATCTCTTTATTGATCCTTGGGTTGTCTCCAAATCTTGGTGGTTGTGGGTCTTGTTGGAATGGACAGTAGAGAGTAAAGATGTCTCTTGATGGACTACTTTCATAGATGATAGATGATTGATAGATAGATGATAGATAGATAGATGATAGATGATTGATAGATAGATGATAGATAGATAGATGATAGATGATTGATAGATAGATGATAGATAGATAGATGATAGATGATTGATAGATAGATGATAGATAGATAGATGATAGATGATTGATTAGATAGTTGATAGATGATAGATGATAGATGATTGATAGATAGATGATAGATAGATGATAGATGATTGATAGATAGATTATAGATAGATTGATAGATAGACAGATAGATAGATAGATAGATAGATATAAAATGCAGGGGAATTGCTTGATCATATAGTAGTTCTATTTTTAAAAATTTGAGGAACCACCACAATGTTTTCCATAATATCTAAATTCCTTTATTCTTATGTGTTCATATTAATGAGAATATCATGACAAGAATGCCATAGGTCAAATCTGTAAGTAACTCAGAAACTTCATCCCATCAACAGATCAACACATCCAATCACAGTCAAACTGTCCTTTAATAGGTGGCCTGGCAAGGCTATAGGATCACAGAAGTAGAAAAGCCAAGATGTACTATCCAAACACCTACCCAGATGGAAAGGGAAGGAACTGATACTGAGGGCACCATCTGTGCTGGAGTGTTTCATTTGAAGTCTTTAGAAAGACTGTCAAGACCATGGTCTTTCATCTTCATTCAATATCATCTTTCTCTCTCTCTCTTTTTTTTTCACTTTGTGTAAAGCTCAATGGTATTTCATTTTGAAGCATTATTCTGAATGTTCACTCTATTAGTCTGGGTTATCTTTGCCTTGTTTCTAAAATTTATGTTTGCCTTCTATAAATTCCCATGCTTAAAAGCCAAAGATAAAACAAGGTCATGTTTCAAGCTCTAGGACATCCACAAGAGACATCTACACATCACGTTATTCTGTCAATCAGAAAGGCTACTCTTAAATATACGAGACTATATTTCAAATGGACCATATTTCTCAGCCCTGATCCCAAAGATACCATAAGCAACTGTCAAATTTATGTAGTCATTTTTGCTTCGCCAGTTTATTTTTTTTGTGTCATCTTTTCAAGTTAGCAGGTAATTTAACTTCCTTTGAATTTTTACTTACTTTTCAAGCAAATATTTTCCATCATTAACTTGTTCTAAAGGATTCTGTAATCTTTTCAGTTCTTCCTGTAAAAAAGAAAAAGATAGCTCACAAATTGATATCTTATACCTCTGGCAATATTATTAGCAACATTGAGATACACCACCATTGTTTGATTCTAGGGGTTACAATGGTTTGGTACCTAAACATGCAACAAAGTTTAACAACTTGCTTTAATTGGAATCCAATATTATCTCTTAAATTGAGTGAATTTTTTCATAATCAAGTAGCACGAGTCCTGTCATTCTTCCAGAGTGGGGATGCTTTTATATGAACCCACCTACAACGGTATAGTTTGCTAGTTGCTGAATGAGACTCTAACGAAGTTGTGCTAAGCTTGGCTCTCCAGAAAAGATTCTCTCTTGTCTCCTGGTAACCTTTTCTCTGCAGTGCATATGCCTATGTACATGCAGACAGACAGACAGACACACACCCCTACACCTTCTCTGAATTTCAAGTATCCATAGTCATCATGATCCCATTTCTGACTACAGGGATGTTATGGAAGTTGAGGCCAGTTCCTGATAAGACTTGTAGTTCCTCAGTTTGATTACCAAAGATAAGATTGAGATGTAAAGAAGGCTTCCAGCACTCTGTTCCTATGGAGACTGCTGTTCCCTGAGGCCATACTATGTGTCTCATCTCCTAAAAGTACTTAAGTACCAGGAAAGTATCAGGAAAATGCCACAATTAGAACTAAAGGCATCCCTCACTGCCTGTGGGGTATTGGTTCTAGAGTCTCTAAGGATACCAATACCCAAATGTCTCTGATGTAAAGAGGGGTAATATTTTCATATCTTTGCATATATGCTCTATATATCTTTGTACAAACTTTAAATCATACCTGCACTGCACATTGCAGGATTTGACCCAATCCCCCTCTCCTCGGTCCCTCCAACCTTTCCACTGGGTTCTTTGCAACTTCAGTCTATTATTAGTTAAACTGTCTTTAATTCCTTAGAACACTCTCTTAATTGTCCTGTTTCAGCTGAACCATGCTTTGCTGTTCTGGGGACAGCTAAGTTGTGAGAGCAAGAAGATCAAGGGAATATTTAGAAAAGAGTTTTAGTGTACAGAGAATTTTACTGGTAACAAACATGGCTGAGTCCCCCAGCATGCTTTCTTCCTTGTGGTCCTAAGATGGAGCAATTTCTTCTCCATGTGCTACATTCTACAGGATCCAGAGCAAAGATACCCCCTAATTACATCTGCTAGGCTCTACATAACCTCAGTTCCTCTGTACACATACCAGCTATGTGTCCTGGACCTCTGCCATTCTCACTACTGTTTACCCCCACTTCTTAGGGGATTTCATCAGGCCTCATAGTTTTAAATCTACTCTCTGCATCTACTTGCCTTCTTGATAGTTCCATGTGCGAATCTAAGAAGCATCCCAAATTCAAAGTGGAGGTGTTGACCTCCTTGTCTAAACGCTCCTGCTCAAACCTCCTGCTTCACTGCTTCTTCCTCATTTTAGCAAATGTCATTCCTATTCATTCAGCTATTATGCAGAGCCAGAGTTAGTTAGTCAGCTTTCTTCCTCTCAAATTCCACTGTCTATCAGTCTGTTCATCTTGACCCCACTTTCTAAACAGATCTGAGTTGACCACTTCTCAGTCTGGTCTAAGCCAATGGTCTGTGAACCATGTCACTCCTTCCCAAATCAGGCCATATTAATTACTTCTCCTCACATAATTCAGGGTGATTTTTCAGTATCTAGGGTTTTACAAGTTGGAGAATAACAATTTATAAAGCACGAGAAATACATAAGTGTACAACATGATGTTTTATCATATATGTTCACTGGTGGACTCATATCCCTAAACGGTAAATACATGGGGTATTCTCTTGCATCACAAAATTTCTTTGGTGTCCTATACAAAAGCATCTCTGTTTTGAATTTTATCCATTTAGACTGTGTCTGATTTAGAACATCATATAAACTTTTATGTTCTTTTATGGCTAATTTAGTCCATTCTGTATTACATGTGGCATATATCAGTAGTTTGTTTCTTTTTGTTGTTGAATAGTATAGCATTGCATAAATTTTGATAACAGCTTTTTGATAGTTTCCTATTTGGATGCAATATAATTTATTTTCTTTATTTTTGATATTCAATGTTTTCTGTATCCTAAGAAATAACTGCCTATCATAATGCTGTTGACACAGTCTCATGTATTTTCTTCTAGAGGTCGGATAGCTGATTTCCACATAGGTCTATGATCAGTGTTGAATTAACTTTTGTGTATGGTATGTGACAGGGTTGAGATTCACTTTTCCCTCATCAGAATCTGAGCATAAGTCTACTGAATGGGCTTCTGCATTAACTAGTGTTTTATGATACAAAGGAACAGATGTAGCCAAGTGTGTGGCTTTTGATTCTTTTCTCTTCACTCTTCTTATTGAGATCCAGAGTGTTGCATCCACTGTTCCCACAGGAAGGAAACCATATATTGAGGATAATAAAATAGAAAGATAAAAGGTATCTGGGGGAACTACTTTCAGATTTCATCTTACTCCAGTCAGAATAGCTAAGATCAAGCAAACAACTGACAACAAATTCTGGTGAGGATGTGGGGAAAGGGGCCCCTCATTTACTGTTTATGGGAATATAAACTGGCCTAGCCACTATTGAAGTAAGTGTGGTGAAGTCTCAAAAAAACAAGGGAAGATCTATCATATGGCCCAAATACATCACGCTCCTTGACATATACGCAAAAGACTCCACATCTTATACTGAGATACTTGCTGAGTTGTGTTCATTGCTGCTCTTTTCACAATAGCTAGGCAATGGAAACCATCTAAATGTCCTTCAACTGATGAATGGTTAATGAAAATGTGGTTCATATACACAATGGAATATTATTAAGAAGTATAGAAAAATGAATCATTAAATTTGCAGGTAAATGGATAGAACTGGAAAACATTATATTGTGTGAGGTAACCCAGATCCAGAAGGACAAATGCCGCATGTTGTCTCTTATTTGTGGATCCTTTAGAACTGAGCATGTAAACTGAAGTAAGAGGTAAATGCTCAAGCCAGGAAAGTAGAAGGAGACCTGAGGGGGATGGGACAAGGAGCTCTACAGAAGGGAATAGTGTGGTATAAGTGCTATCAAGGGGAAAATGGGAAAAATTGGGGAGACTTTAACTGGGGAGGAGGAGGAGACATATATAACACCAAAGATGTTTGAAAAAAATCATAGAGAGACATATCTTAAAAGCTTACTTAAAATACATATAATGTGTGTTAAATGGAGTTATGCCACAGGAGGTGCTAATGCTCCGAATTAAGAGCTGTAGACTACCTAACAAAATTCTCAGTGCCATGCATAGGAAATTTCTCTTTACATTATTGGTCAGGGTAGTCAAAGAGACCCCTGACATAACACAGGCTATTGCCATTGTACTTTGTTGCCTCCCAGAACTTGAGGCAAGACCTCATTGTTGACAATACCACATACTTCAGACAGAGAACTTGGAAAATTCAGCTTGAACTGACCTGGGAGCCTTCTCCCTGAGGATTAACTCTCATAGCATCCAAAGGTACTAGGCAAGCTGACAAGGGAGAAAAGCAATCAATCCTAACCAGCTGTAAAACCTACAAATAGCAATGTCTGGCCCAGTAACATCCCCAATAATGCAATAGTGGCTTTTTTTTTTCAATAATGGCAGTTTTATCTTGGAGGTAACCAATGGCTTTCTAATTGAACTTAAGGCTTGTTTTAAATAGGAGAAAATTCATGCCTGGTACTGTAAACATAGCCAAACATCCATAGCTGGAGAGGTCATAGACCTTAGAAAAGAACCTATTAGTGCCATTTTTCTAAACCAATATGATCATTAACATTCTAAATATTTATCCTTATATTCACAGATAAGTGTAGCTCTCATCCCTCCTCAAAGAAGCTTCTTTTTGCAACAGATGTAGACTATTACAGAGATCCACAATTGGTCAAAATGCAGAACAAATGCCCAGCCCAAATTGATACATTAACAACACAACCCCTATACCTAAGGCTCAGGGAACATCATGGAAGAGGGGGCAGATGGTCAGAGCCAGAGGACCAGGATACTTGCTCCTAGAGGGTATCTTTTAGATGTGAGAGGAAGTTTCACCCATGTAATATCAACAATATGGTGGCCTAAACAAGACCTACATAATTGGGAACTCCAGTTGACATGTCCATGTGGATGGGGGACATGTCAGAAGACCTCATGCCTAGATGAAGAACTACAAGAAATAAATGGCTACTGAAAGAGGGAGATTCAGTTTTTTCCAGGGATGAGCTCCCTGATAAGTTAGTGAATCACAAGTGGTCTGCCATAAACACATGTATATATAAGCAACATTAAAACAATAATTATTTAAACAATAATTAAACAAGACGGTCATGAAATTGAGAGGAAGTGAGGGGTCATGGGGGAAGAAAAAGGGGTGAAAATGATATAAATTCAGTATTCATGTATGAAATGCTCCAAACAATAAAAATTAATTATACAAAACTTATCTTGGAAACTGGAGATGTAGCTCAGTGGTAGAGACTTATCAAACATATGTGAGGGGTGGTTCTGGTACAGGAGCTAGCTCTCAGTAGGTAGTAAGGGAAAGGGGCCCTTGGCGAAAACTGAAAATGACTCATGTAAATCACACTGAGAATGGACTTTAGTGTTTAAAGGAACATTAGACTTGCAATAGTAAGGCCAGAAACTCTAAGCACGAGAAACAGAGATGCTTACAATATGGAGTGAGTTAGCCAAGTATACCTGGTATGAGGAAGGAAGGGACTCTGAACCAGTGACTGCAAACTGGTTGACCTCTGAATCCCTTAAGGAACATATATAAGGCATTGTTGCCCTTTCATATGTTCTTATTTTAATGCAACTAATAGTAACAGACTAAATTTTAAGTAAGGATGGCTTCTAACAAGGAGCTAAGTGTGAGGTAACCAAAGAAGACTACAGCAACATCCTGGTATCTGTGATAGAATGAACTCTCTGCCATTGCAAAACTGCAGACTGATC